AGTTGTTTGTTTTGAAGTTTTGCTAAAAATTCCACAGCTATCCTCGCAAGAAATTACATGATTTTAGGTGATTACACAAAAAATAGTAGATAACTTAAAAACTAGAAGAAATAGGTATAGGGAACCCTGATACCGTTCGAAAGAGAATAAAATCGTATGTTTAGTTAACTAAACTTGGCATTAAATTTCTAGCACCCTGTATGCAATTAACTTTAAACTTTAAAAGTATTGATGGGAAGCTTAGGGGTCTAGCTATCCCCCCTATAAATATTGTTGCTTTATCTTTGTTACTATAAAATACACATGGTTTGAAGCTAGTCACTGATTCTATCCTATTTAAATAGTAAGGTGGGTAGTAATGTCGTTAGTAACAACGGAAAAATAGAAGAGGACCTGAATTAGAACTTTGGGATACACCAGAAGTATTAATACGTAAGAAAAACTAATAAAAAAATGTTCTAGATTGTAGAACATGATGACGTAATTATAAAACGCCTCTTATAGCATTATTTTTTTCATAATATTATTTAAAGATCTGTTTAGGAAATTTAATAGCGAAATAACGTAAATAATCACTGGTTCCATGGCAATCTTGACTTTTTCCTTATGGAGGGTCAATAAGTAAAACAAAATATTGCCCAACTGTCAAAGCAAATACATATAAAATATTTATTTATTGTGCGATTTTAACCGGATTTTTTTTTAAGATGTAGAGCTTGGTGAAGTGTGCTTTGTGAAGGAAAATGAGCTTGATTCTACAAAATGCAAGAAGTACTACGTCCGTTTTTAGGAGTAAAATTTTAGTATTTCATATTAGGGATTTTTTGAGAAAAAAAATATATTTACGCCACTGGATTCACGACATCCCCAAAACGGGTCAATACCAAATTTTATCGAAAAATTTTAAATAAAAACGATTTTGTAGCCAAATCACAAGTCTTTACTTTTTTTTTCATTAATTTGTTGTTGATACCAAGTATCCATGCAGCAAAACAAATAAATTAAATTAATTAAACACTAGTAATGTGGTATTATAATAATAATTATATTAATATTAGTTTTGATAAATTTAAAAATAAAATAATGAAATTGAAACAAACAATAGTTAAAGTAAATTTTTGTTATTTCAATCAATCCACCATTTACTATTTTGGGATAATTTCTGTACAAGCTTGTATAATCCTAGCACGTAGTTCGTGTACAGTTTGTTGTCTTGATTCATAAACTTTTTGTTTCTTAAAGGCAAGTCATCTAATGCATTCCGAAATTCATTATTAAGAGAATTTAAAAAATTGTATTCAAATTGTAAAAAAAAGAGAGGGTCAATTATTCTATTATTTAGTATTCCACACCAAAAGTTAACTTTTTGCGAAATCGACCTGTTTGCGTTTATAATAAATTCTTGATTCTCAGCTGACCAATGACGACAATTTTGAGACGAAACACCATTTGTAGTAAATGTGATCTCATCACTAAATAAAATTTCACTTAAAAATTTAAGATTATTTAAATATTCTCACTGTAGCCAAAAAAAAACTCCAAACGTCTTTCTTTATCTCCCAATTCCAAAGAATGGACAAATTTTGGTTTAAAAGCTTTTATTTTATTTTTTTCCAGGCACCTTCTGATACTTTCTCTAGGGATATTAAGATTTAAACTAGCCACTCTAATACTAACCCTGGGAATATTATTAAAATATTGTAAAATATGGTTATTATTTGTCAAAATTCTACTACGTCCATTATGTCTAGTTTTAAGTAAAATTTTTCAAACACCGTTTCATTGAAACCTTTATTAATATACTGAACACTACTCCAATTTACTCGTCTGTCCGGGTGCCTACTAGTAAATTCTATTGCAGCATTTTTTGCCGAACGCACATTATCGCCAACAAATCGTACAATTTTTATTTTATCTCTAAATGGGATATTTTCCATGGTTATTATCACGAGATATTTACTACACACTTTTGACAATCTACCTCATTTTTGTTTTACTTCTTGAACTACTTGATATCGGCAATAAATAAATGAAGAAAAAGTAGGTAGACTTATAAATTTTTGATTTGACTACAAAATGGTTGTTATTTAAAAATTTTTGATAAAATTTGGTTTTGGCCCGTTTTGTGGGGGCCTGAATCCAGTGGCGCAAATATATTTTTTCTCAACAAGTCCCTAATATGAAATATTAAAATTTTATACCTAAAAACGGACGTAGTACGCCTTAGATTTTATGGGATCACCCTCATTTTCCTTCACAAAGTACACTTCACCAAGCTCTATGTCTATACCTTAAACAAAATCTGGTTAAAATTGCACAATAAATAAAGATTGCCAAAGAACTGCTATTTTGGGGCAAACGAGAACAACCTCTTAACGTCGCCGTTACGTCGCGTCTTTTGTTACTCCACGTCATTTCGAAATAAGGTTATAGTTAACATTTCAACCAGGCATGCCGCTAACGGGCCAGATGCTGCCCGGTACCCTGCCGTTTTACCCCTCGCTGCCTGCCATTGAGAGCGAGCACGAGGAGACGCCCTTGGACACCATCAGCGAGCTGCAGGAGCCCCAAACGAGGGGAGTCATCAGGCCGTTAGGGAGGACGCAATCTTCACCGCTACCTCTGGGACACCCCCTGCTGGGGGGTCCGCCCCCGCCAGACCACCAGCCCCCGCAGCCGCCGCCCGAGGAGCAGGAGCAGAGAGATTTGGAACTGAGGGCCAATGAGTCGAGGAGGTGGGTAATTATAATTATTAAATTATAAAATTCTGAAAGTAGTTGTTTCTAATGACAGCGCGTCGTACTGCACTGGGACCTTTTGTAGTTAGTAGTCCCAATTAACATTTAGTGCCTATTAAAATTATCCAAAATAGATTTTCTTTTAGACCAAGAAATAAAGGTGAAAAATCATCGAGAAAATGTGAAAATTACTGGTCGTGATTTTATTGTTGGAAAGTCTTGGGAATGATAATACAAAGGGGGGCGTCTCATCTCGTGGGTCATGGAAAAAAATATAACGTCATTGTTTTTTATCAACAAATAGGTCAAAATTTCATTTTTCGTTCTACGCGTTATTATAAAAAAACTATTAATCTTTTCAAAAAATGTTCTACAGACGATTTGATCTAGAGAAACTCATCTTTAAAATGATACTTTATCAGTTAAAATTGCTTTATAAACAAAAAATTGTTTGCAAAATTAAACGGAAAAAGAGCTTTTTCTTTAATTGTTAATAACTTTTTAAATAATTAATAAAATCTTACCAAACTTTCCCAAAATGTGAGTTTTTATATCCTTAAGAGATGCACAAAAGATGGGCTCGATCGGTCAAATAGTTTTTGCAAATTTCCATTTATTTATCCCATTTTTGCAAAAAAGGCCCATTTTGAAATGACTATTCCGGGGGTAGGGTTATGACTAAACACTCTTTTTGGGCTCATTTTCTTCGAAGGGACACCAAATATCCTATAGTTAAAAAAAATAATTATTTTTTCAAATTTAGTTGTAAAAAAATTGCTAACTCCGGACCTATTGGTCGTAGAAACTTTTTTTTTCAATTTGTAGGTTTTTTACGAGCTTTCGAATGGTGTATATAACTTCTTTCAAAAGTTAAAAACCGCGGAGTTATTTTATTTGTTTATTAAGGAAAAAAGTACCTTTTATTGGTTAACAATTATATACAACTTTTGAACAAAAAATTATTTTTTTTTAACGAGAGGATACTTAGTGTTGAAAATGAGCCCAAAAAGAATGTTTTGTAAATGGGCCTTTTTGCAAAAATGGGATAAATAAATGGAATTTTGCAAAAACTGTTTGACCGATCGAGCCCATCTTTTGCACATCTCTTAAGGATATAAAAACTCAACATTTTGGGAAAGTTTGGTAAGATTTTATTAATTATTTAAAAAGTTATTAACAATTAAAGAAAAAGCACTTTTTCCGTTTAATTTTGCAATACATTTTTTGTTTATAAAGCAATTTTAACTTATAAAGTCTCATTTTAAAGATGAGTTTCTCTCATCAAATCGTCTGTTAAACATTTTTTGCTAAGGTTAATAGTTTTTTACAATAACTCGTAGAACGAAAAATGACGAATTTTTGACCTATTTGTTGATAAAAAACAATGACGCTATACTTTTTTCATGACCCATTTGATGAGACGCCTTTTGTATTATCATTCCCAAGACTTTCCAACAATAAAATCACGCCCAATAATTAATAAATTTCAAAATGTTTCCTGGTCTATTTAGGGATTTCATAAGAGATCCCTCACGAGATCCCTTTTGAGAAAAATTACTCTAAATTTATAGAAATTGATTAACATTTTAACTTTTTATGTAAGATATTGCTTTTTCTCTTAAACATCAGTGAAATCAATATTATAAAAATAATAAATATTCAAAATAATGTCATAAAAATCGATTTATACGTAAAATTTACACTTACCTTTTTGAAATACATTTAAATTCACATAATCTAATCCAACCCAAACGAACATAACCTAAAAACAAGTTATTGTTATTTTCAAAAAAGCTCGTGAGGGATCTCTTGGGAAATCCGTAAAGAAGAGATTTAAAAAAATCCATTTTTATACGTTCTAGTCGTTTTTTGGGACTATTAACTTCAAAAGGTCCCAGTGTGCGTATGTGCGACACGCGACAAAGCGTCGCACCGTGTAAGCCCAGCTTTATACGCAAATTTTAATCGAGAAATTTTACCACGTGGCAACAGACGGTGCTAAGCAAATAGTTTCATATGAACAAGTGTATTCAAAAAGTTTCTCTTTCAAAAACTAAAAACAAAAACTACCCTGTACATTTATCTTAATAATAAAGTAATACCTAAGCCTAAGTACAGTTACTTTGTTTTCGTACAAATCATCTGTACAGGATTTCTTCTCGCCACAAACGTCAATATTTATTTTGAAACGCGATAATTAATTTGTACGTAATTTATAATTTCCACAGCAATCGGAATGAGTCGAACGAGTCAAAGCGAGATTTTGCCAGGAGCAAAGGTCGTAATTTTTATTTTCCATGTGAAACGGTGTGATGATTTGATTTCTAAATATAGAAAACCTTTTACGCCGGACGGGGTGTACCGAATCTATACTGGTCGTCCTTTATTGAAATTGGATTTCCAAAAGGGCATCTTTATATATTTTCTGTAGCCCCGCACTTTCATCGGAGTAGGTATACATCTGTGTGGAAAGTATGTCGTACTTTTTATGTACAGGGTCAATGTAAAATGTGTACATACACTTTAATCACTTAAACTTGAAACAATAGGAACGATAAAAAGAATTTAATGTTTTTACGTTAAACTGCTAAAACTCTTAAACGGATTTTTTTTTATATGAAATAAGACAATAATTAAATAAATAGTAATATTTTGAGACCCAAGTCAAAGATATCTTCCAGTAAACTAATTTTATGTTCATGGTTATTCACATGGCATTCTACTCCCCCCCGAACTTTTTAAGCTTTCTATCTTTCTGTCTAGGAAAAAATGGTAAAGACGAAAGTTTTAAAACAAATTTTAAAGCAATTTATAAAAAAACTTTTGACTTGGATTTCGAAGATATAAATCAAAATCTATATATTTGTCGTTTCTTCGATTTCTATCTTTTTTTCTGATTGCAATGATAAACACTTCATGTATTTGCTTTGTTAGTTTCCTGGTTATGTTTTCCGCTGTTAAATTTATTAAAGAAATCTTTAAATTCTCTATTAAGGAAAAATATCTTATAAAAGGTATTTTATAATACCTTCATCCTGTTCCAGATAAGAGACATATCTATATTCCATGCAAGTTTTTGTTTTATACTGACTCCACCTCATCGATAGTACCAACCTCGCTCAAATTTTCTCCCTCAGCTCAAATAAAGTATTAAATCTTTTTTGTTTATTTTGTCGCTAAGAATCTTCCACAAAAAGGCCAAATTGGTCTTGCAGATCATAAAATTATCTCATCCTAAGAACATTTCAATAAACTGGCTCTCGCCCCAAAAATTTATTTTTGTGCATATTTAAAAATTACATTTTCTTACGTTAAAAAATATGGCATTCTATTTAAATTAATCAAGTTATAGCCACTTAAAAGTTCTTATTTGATTAATTTTTGGACACTGTATAAATTGGCAAGTTTATTATGAATGGTATATATATTATGATCTATTGTTACACTTCACTGTAAATTTCGCTCACATACCTGATATACTTCTGAAGTATTTGAAACAAGAAAATTATGTTACATTTACAATTTAAATTATTTAAAACACCTTAAAGTTTAGATATTATAAACCTTATTAAAACAGCCATTTATTATGATCGGAGAATCCAAAAATGCGATAATATTCCATTAAAAAAAAACAATTTTGATACTTTTAGGACATTTGGGACACCCTGTATATGAAAATAATTTTAAAAAGTAATCGTTATAGACCCCCAAAAGAGAAACTTCTGAATGCCTCGTATTTTGGCCACAATATTCCGTATCGTATAGCGTGAATAACCCTGTACAGGGAATTTTTATACAGGGTGTCTCATAATGATGTGCAAATATTTTAAGATGTTTGGGAAGTAATTTTAGAGGGGTGGGGTACTGTACTTCCAATACATTTTTTCGATTTGAACCCTTCTGAGAAAATATTTAAATCTCAAAATGGCCGAAAAAATTAGCTTTTATTATTTTTTTTATTAAATTTTTAGTTCATATTTGCTTAGTTTTTCCTCAAAAATGACAATCGTTTTTGGTAACTGTTATACTAATTATTACTAGTGTTCCTAACTATTGAGAATACGAAAAAATGAGGATAGTAAAAAAAGCCATTTTTCTTGTTGGAATTGTCTAACCAAAATTCAAATTTCTAAGTTTAACCGTTTTCGTGAAAAAAAAATAAAAAGCTATTTTGGGATTTGAATATTTTCTCAAGGGGAGCTCAAATCAAAAAAATATATTGGAAGTACCCCCCCCCCCCCTCCTAAAATTACTTTCTAAACACCTCTTTAAAATTTTTGCACATCATTATGAAACACCCTGTATACAATAAATTTTGTAAAAAAAAAATCAAAAAGGGCTGTTCAAAAATGATTTAAAAATACACTTCTGCACGGCACTGGAAACTGGTCCACTGTAAAATCTAATCTTGCGCAAGGCAAAGCATGCAGTCGGCGACCGGCACGGCGGCAAAGGGTAATAAAAAGTGAATGGACAAAAAATTGAAAGAATTTCTTTCCCAGGGAAAGAATAAATAAAATTTTATTGCGGCTATTGTTATTATTAATTAATAAAATTAATTTGTGATTTTTATTAATAAAATAAAACAACAACTGTTCCAAATTTTGTCCACTGACGTGTAAACACATTTAGTCCCGTCTTATCCAGTTTCTAGAACTAACACAAATGTTGTCTTGCTTCACCATAAATTAAAACGATATTCATCAACACCGAGTTGTTATACACGTAAGCCATTTTTGACATTTGAAAAACTACTGTAAACACTATCGCAATGACGTTTCTACTAAAATTTCAGTATTCGGAATCGCCTGGGGTCACGTGGAAAGAGAGCGCATTGCTAACAATGCGAATGACGCTAGAGGCTGCAGTAGCCCATCGATGTAAGGGTTGAAAATATTACAACTTACAACAATTTTTTTCTCGAAAACTGTATGGATTTTACAAAAAAAAAATTACGATATTTTACTCCATTTTTCATAACGCATATATCCCCAAATTTTTTTGGATAAGTTGTGAATCACCCTGTATGTTTCAAAAACATTGTTTTTATTTCAAAGTAGTTCCGTCACCTGTATGGTAATTGTAGAAAACACAATTAGGGGGTCTAAGCCAGATAATCCAATTTTTCATTATCTCCTTTGTTATTACGAAAATATGTAGACTAATAAACTAAATAAATCATGATAATGCGGTAGTAAAATCACTATTTTATTTAAATCCTTTGTTTCGACCTGTAGATAATTTTGTAATGCACGTTTCTGTTAATTCGCGATATCAAACTATTTGCTGCAATTAATAAAACAAACATCGTTCTCATCTGTTGATATCCTCCGCCTTATTTGTGAGAATATATTTAGTTTGGTTCGTTCACGATGCGATGGCTTTGTAGGTTCCTGGAGTCTATTTTTGTAATCGTAAGGTGGTCGCTTTATAGTTTATTGATTTCCGCTATTTTTAGATAAACGTGACAAGGACAGACTTTAGGAACGTGTACGAAATCTTAGCGAGCACTCACACTGGCAAGCAGCGAAATATAAAGCTGTTTTATTGCCACACGCCAGCTCGGTAAATAATTAATTCCTGCCACGGTATTCGTGAAGAAATGTACGTAATTTTAAAAGTGTTTTGCGACATATCTCTTAAAATTATTTTATTTTCGTTTGCTCGTGTCTCATCTCGAATGTAAAATGTAAAACGGATAGAATTTGATTTAATAAGTCCGTAGCTACTTTGCATATAAATTGAAATGATTTTTGAAACGTGTTTCCTTCAAGGCGTACATTTTTTATGTACAGGGTGTCCCAGTGTTCCATGCGTGGAACTACTATCAATTTTTGGGCTTAAAAAATGATTTTTTTTCTCCATATTTTGTGGTGCTAAAAATGGTGCTAATTTTAAAACATCACCTTGAAAGAATTTTCGATTGCGAGTTTCTGAACTTTATTTCATTTTTTTTGTGAAATTGATCAAATTTTTTATGTTAAATCACGATTTTTATAAAAAAATGCGTTTTTGTTGAATAACAAAACAATTAATTATGCGAAAAACGTTAGAAATAAAAAAATGCAACAAAAAAAAATTGTGAGGTCATCTGCTATTTTTTGGTTGTGTATTTTTACGATTTATGCAAATGGTAATACTTCGTCTAGTATGCGACATCTATGCACAAGTCCAACATACCAAATTTTATTTAAATATTTAAATCAGACAAAGCATTTTGCAGTTATTTAGAAAAAGAAACTAAAAATGTTTGCCAATGCAACGCGATCTAGCGGCTAAATAAAGCAACTCTAGCTAGCGGTTTTAGTAAAATATTTACATTATTACATTAAATCTTTGAACAAACCCACTAAAAATCTTATTTTAACCTCGTAAAAAAATGAACCAACCTGGGTGTAAAGTAAAAGACATAAAAGAATAAAACTATTTATATTGCATTGTTAAGATACCAGCAAGCTTTCAAGCCTGCTTGATATATCAGTGCTGTTAGGTTTTAATCATCTGTTAGAGGGCGTTAGCTACTATTTCATTCAATGACGTTTTATGACACATCTTTTTCGAGGTTAGGCTTTTCATAGTGTGTTTCTTTCTTGTGTCATAACTCAATCCATAATGCAAAATTTCATTTTACACAAAAAAAGTAATCAAAATCGCCAAAAACGCATGGTTTTTGAGAAAGATTGGTTCTAAATTGGTATCTAAATGATATCTCTATTATAAACACTCTAATTGTAAGTAACAAATTTCTCTTTTTATAGCACGCGTTCTTAGATCTGTTTGCGACTACCGCGCTACCCCGTGGCCTCGGCCGGCATAACTTCGTCAAATCAACATCCGGGCAGATCCGCTTTATGAAGCCACTGTAGTCCTATATATATAATGATGCATTAGTTATGCAGGACTAATTTATAGAACCAATAATATGAATGACACAGGTTTTCAAGTTTTATTTTTAGTGTATCACATTTTTTGCTAAGAAGAATCGTCATATCATCGCACTTTATGAATTAAATAAGTAAAGTACAATATACAGTGATATAAAAAGTGTTGTATAATTACTTGCTTAAAGCCTTTGACTAATTCATCATAATTTTTTGCTAGAACTGGAGTATTCAATGAAATAAAATGAAATAAGTTCACGTACCACCTAAAAGGGTTCCACATATCCCAAGTGGCACCCATACCACAGTTTGAGAATCCCTATTCTAGGATATGAACATATGACAAAGGATTCCAACACAGAGGTATACTTATTGGGCTTGTAACTCACTTCAGAAATATTCTTAATGGATTTTCCAATGAAATTACTTCCGTACTCCTGCGACGACAATGTGAAAGTCCCATCCAATCTAACCTACATAATGGTTTTTCAGCATAAGGCCGCTGTCGAGAGCGCTAAGTTCGCCGGTAGTCCATCTGGGCGCCCCCGATGGCCCTACACTTTCCCGGCGAAGAGCCTCGTCCACGCCCACAACAGGACTGGCCTACGACAGTCAAATGCTCAAACATGCCTGCATTTGCGGCAACAACGCTGTCCATCCCGAACACGCCGGCCGCCTCCAAAGCATTTGGTCTAGGCTCTTGGAAACGGGTCTGGTTTCAAGGTAAGACCGTTTACTTTCTCAGAAACCGCCACTTGTCGACCGTCTCGAATTTCAGATGTGACAGATTGCGACCCAGGAAAGCATCGACGCAGGAGCTCCAGACCTGCCACTCGGAAGCTCACACATTGTTATACGGTACAAGTTCTCTGAATAGGCATAAGATGGACATGAGCAAGTTGGGCTCCTTGCCCGTTACCGCCTTTGTAAGACTTCATTGCGGAGGTATAGGGGTTAGTATAACATTCAGTGAATGTGTAAATTGTGTTCAGCGGATGTTAATACTCAGACGATTTGTAATGTGTAATGAAACGAAGCGAGAGGACTGACATTTCATTCGATTTTTGCTTGTAGGTGGACACCGACACCACCTGGAACGAGGTAAACACAGCCCCGGCTGCTAGGATGGCTGTGGGTTGTACGGTGGATCTGGCAGTGCGTACGTGGACTGGTGACATCAGGAACGGTTTCGCCATAGTGAGACCGCCGGGGCACCATGCCGAGCCGCAGCGAGCCATGGGTTTCTGCTTCTTCAATTCAGTAAGTGACAAATACAGTTATCTGCCAAATACGTACGTTTATCATGGCTTATTTTAGTAATTTTTCTATCTGCAGCTTCGTCTACAGTTATCCACATTTTTTTCCATTTGAGTTCATTACTTTTGGTTTCTTTTTCGATATGGTGGTACAACCAATGGATTCGGAGTAACGACCATTTATTTCTGTCAAAATAATTGAATTTGTTTATTATTGGTGACACGTCAAAATATTACAGAAGTTGAACATAGAAAATTGGGCCTTATACAAGGTGTAAGAAATTTGACTGCCATTACTTCATCATTAGATAGAGTAATCATAAATTAACAAAAATGTTGTATTAAAAGCGAGTATTAATATTGGGGAGTTTCATCACAAAATGACGACAGCGCTTAACCAAACGCCACACAGCTGATGCATACACGTGTACACGCGGCAGACTTGCTCTATGGAAAAAATGTAAACAACTATTGTGAAACATTTTGAGACATTTGTTTTGCAGTTTTTAAATAAATGAAATAAAATGTATCGATTTTGTAGTATGAAGATAGTGTTATGCTTAAATTTTAGTAATTATGAATCTCTTAAAACAGAAACTTAACTTTTAATCAAATTATGAATTTGAAAAATATGTAATTAAAGTACCCAAAGTTTCACTTCATCCAAATAATCATATGTATTAAGAATAATTTAGGTACTTACCAAAAAGCAAAATTCAGTAATATTTAAATGCACAAGTACAAAACAAACTATAACATATGCTCAAAATGTCCACCATCATTTTCGATGCACGCACGACACCTTCGAATCCAGTTTTCGCGCATTCGCTGAAAAACGCCTCGAGAAAAGGAAATAGTGGTACACAAAAAACACTCAGACACGGTCCAATTCCAGATGCTAAGTTCAAAAAAGTGATAAACATTGTATTTTATGGTATTCTATGCAGGCAGTTATGTCAATATTCCTTAATTAATCGAACTTTTGTACATCAAGTTGCAGGTTTGGATAATTTTTTTCTCGGAAATGATTGAGTTTAGGACCCATGTCATATCAGGTTTTTTGTTTATTTTAATGTAGTCTGTTAAAATTAAGCCAGTCAAACTTCTAACGTCCTGTATTAAAAATACCCAGCATGGCAGCTGTAAGAGTCGATTTTCAATGCAATTAACTTTTTTTATATCTTTTGCATCAACATATCACTGAATAAATCGACAAAATCGTTTCGTGAACATATTTTATTACTACTTCATCACAGCGTAAATCAGGGGAAACTGTAATGAATTTATTAATGACACGAGTTCCCCACCACTTGTAACCTTTCTCCCTGTACTGTCATCTGCTAAAAGTAGTACCCATACTGTTTCTTATCTTATTGGCCTATTTCAATTATTCTCCCTCATGGTACCACGTGCCAGGACTTTTAATAATTCTTATATAAATATTTTAAACATACAATAATATACAGGGTGAGTCATTAATAATGGTACACAGCTTAAAGGCAGATTGTTAATGTCAAAATATAGCGATTGAGCCAAATATGCCTTAATCAATTGTTGCTCATTTTCATTCTACAGGGTGTTAAAATTGAAAAAATATATATTTTTTTTATCTATATTTTAAGTATGTATGGACCGACTGTTTTGAAAATTTGTAGTTTTACGTCTAGGGGGCGCTAGTTGTACTGTCCTGTTAATGTAAAAATATGTTTAATTTTTTATATTTTACAATTTTGAATTTTTTAACTAGAAATTGTTGAACTACATTCAATTCTAAATAAAAAAGATATACTTGTTACAAATCAATAAACTCAACTGTTTTCGAGATAGACATTTTAAGTTTTTGAGATTCGACGGGAATTAAATTAGAAATTTTTTTTTTCCAAAATAGTAGGCATGGCGCATGGATATAATAAATTGACATCTGTCACTACAATACCATATTGTTTTCTACTCAATTTGATTAAGAAGTAGTTTTTCCCTTGTCATTATTTTTTAGAGAAGAGAATATCTTAATAAAAGGCTAAGAAAGTTGCTGGTAGTTAATAATTTGTTAAGATATGCATAATAAAATCTTTAATTGCTGTAATGTTTGTCTTAATTCTTAATTCAGGCTTGGTATCTTAAGACCTGCTAATTTTCTAATTTAATTCCCGCCGAATCTCATTTTTATTTAGAATTGAACCTAGTTCAATAATTTGTAGTTAAAAAATTGAAAATTGTAAAATACAAAAAGTTAGACAGATTTTTACATTGATTGGACAGTATAACTAGCATCCTCTAGACGTGACCCCAACACCGTTTACATATTCGTATTTGCCTCCTCAAAAAACGTATAACTACAAATTTTCAAAACAATCGGTCCATACATACTTAAAATATAGATACAAAAGTAAAATATTTTTTTAACTTTAACACCCTGATTGATAATTGATTAAGGCATGTTTGGCTCAATCACTATATTTTGACGTTAACACTATGCCATTAATATTTTTTTACTCCATTGACGAAATACTGTTCTAAACATTGGAAAAAAATTTCTCACCAAATTTCAGCTCTTAATTTTAATTTTAAGTACTCGCTATTTGATTTCAAAATTTTTCCATTCATTTAACCTACGTTTTTTTTTTAATCGTCTGTCGCAGCTCGCAGCTGCATTTCACGTTATTTTATTGTCCATAGATGATAATTATAGGGGAATCTTTGTTCTTTCAAAGTGCCCATAGTAGAATCTATGTAACTTGAACAGTCTCACTGCTAAAAGATCTTAAAGTTAATTTTTATCAATTTTCGCATTTTTCTCATAAATTTATAGACTTACAGCAAAAACGTACATGACATTTTTATAGAAAATATTTTTTAAATAAATTACAAAGACAATGTGATTTAGCTAATCGAGCCGATACGTATAGTTTTTTTATTTATTGCCGTACGTTTGTTGCAGGTAGCCATAGCTGCGAGAATCCTCCAAAAGGAGCATCGTGTCCACAAAATTCTAATATTCGATTGGGATGTTCACCACGGTAACAGTACTCAGGAAATCTTCTATGACGATCCTCGCGTCCTCGTCATTTCGATGCATCGCCACGATGACGGGAATTTTTTTCCCGGCACTGGAAACACTAACGAGTGTGGCGCAGGCGCCGGCCTTGGCTACAACGTGAATATTGCGTGGTCGGGGGGCCTCAACCCCCCGTTAGGAGACGCGGAATATTTAGCGGCTTTCAGGAGCGTCGTCCTGCCCATAGCAAAGGAGTTCGGGCCTGATATAGTATTAGTGTCCGCGGGATTCGACGCGACGGAGGGACATTTGCCTCCTTTGGGAGGATACAGAGTGTCGCCTGCTTGTTTTGGGTACGTATTATTTATTTTTATTTTCAACATAATCTCTTGACCTCAATGTGTTTATTCGCATCGTCTACTCTGCAGCTTTCATCATTAAAAGATTGATTCCTGTTGTTCTTCAGTCCTCCAGAGCATTTTCCAAGGTACATTTTCATTTAGGAAAACACCTCCATACAAAATCGTCGATTCTCTGCATTTATATGAAAATCAAAAAACCTCTAAACAAAATTCATACTTGTGCTTGTTTTTCGGACCATTTTTTGTCCATGTTTTTTTCAGCATTTTATAGACAGTTTTATAGTGGAAAAACTTAATTTAAAAATTCAAAATTATTATTTATATCTGCGATGGGTTAGAGACTTAAATGAGTTGATATTTTTCAGGATTATTCTGTTCCATTGGTAAATACTTGATGACACAGTGATGTTCGAACTTCATAAAACTTTTTAATAATGATGTTGTGGGAAACAACTGCTCTGCAGACTACACGCCTTGTCCACCATTGAATTACGCCCACAATATTTAGTAAACAGCTAAGATTATTTCTCAGCAGCATCACCAGATACATAGGGTGTTTCCTAAGTACTGTCCGGAACTTCAGGACGCAATTTCTTATGGTATTTAAAGAGAAAAAGTTCCTTTAAACATGTGGCCGGAAACGTTGAAATTCCAAGATACAGGGTGTTGAAAATTAAAAAAAATATATTAATATTTGAAATAAATTTGGAACAGTCAATCTTAGATTCTTAAAACTTGGCAGTTATTGTCTGTTGGTAAAGAGCTGCTTTTTTAGTATAAAGTCAATTTTTATCTGTCGCCAGTGGCGTAGTTAGGCGTGCGTCAGTCGACGTCCTCCTCATAAAATGTAGGACGATGGATTTTTAAAAATTTTTATTATTTTCGGACTCGCCTAACATTTTACATCAAAAAAAAGGTGTCTTGAATTTTTTGCCTAGCCCTAACCTATTCTTAAAAAAACGGCCAGCAACTACAAACGACAATCATAAAAATAATCACTTTCAACACAAAATAAGCAAATTGTTTGTTGATTGTCCCACTCGTTCAAAAATTCGTAGAGAATTTTGTATGACATTACAACTTTGAATTATTCGATTTCGTAACTCGTTTTCATCTAGTGCAGATGTCTTATACACAAGAGACTTGAGGTGACCCCATACACAATAGTCTTTCTCCCGCCTTGCCATGCGTGTCAACGTATCGAGCAGAGCAAGCATTTTACGGCCCAACAAAATTAAGTTTACTGTAAAAAAGGGGGTCAGTCATTGCGGACTATTTTTTTTATTGAAGTAAAATTATTCAACTACAACATTTGTAATTTTCAGACTTCAGAATTTATCAATGAATGAGGTCGTAGCAATTTTTTGAAGAAAAAAAAAATTTCTTGGCTTCTGGTGGTCGTAGGACAATTTTTTTTTAGTTCCTGAAAAAATTTCAGCTTTCAAATGACAATAATGCAACTTCATTTAAATTTCAACGATAAGAGAAAGATCTATATTTTTTCGACCCAAAAATCTTTTTTTGACTTCTTAGTTTTAAAAAAATACTATTTTTAGCAATTTTTTTTGCAATAACTGATACATTTGTTTATCAATTGACATCAGGTTGGGCTCAAACTTTTTGTTATGAAAAGTTCTGCAACTTTTGTCTAAAACATCTTTTTCTAAAATGTAAAATTTTTTTTTATGTAAAAAACTGTTTTTTGCAAACTTTGGATGCCATTTTGAAAGTAAAGCCCTAACTTTCAACCAAGGTAAAGTAGTTTATTCAATTCTACAACATTTTTTCGTAATTTTTACGTGTCTTCCTTTACTGAACTTAATTTTAGCAAAAAAATTTGGTATTTTTGACAATTTAACTGGCCAATAGTTCTTTTATCGGATTTTTTGTTGTGGCATTTTCCACATCCCGACATAATATGTCATTGGAATTTCATGCTATACGTACAAATGTAAAAACCACAAAGGGTACATTTCTCATTATTTTTTTTTATTCTCTTATCATCACTAGTAAAACTAAAACACTTTGATTTTCTCTTCTCTCAACTACTGGTATAGTCTTTCCGAAGTCAGTTGAACGTGCGAAAAACGCCTAGCAATAAAATTTAATCGGTTTTATAGGCGTCCCTAAAAAAGTGTTCTGCTAAAGGTAAAAAATTATAATAATTTGTATATAATGTGTAGAAAATTTCTATTAAATGTTCATTTGGCCAACAACATATTTTAATTATTTATGTCCTTAAACAATTTTATTATATTGGCGACAAATTTCGTTTTGTTCCGTTTCAAAAGGTCTCCAAAATGCCATGTTGTGATAATATCAGTAAACAAAATATCCCTCTTATTTCTCCCTTTCGCAATAATAATAATATGAATGATTGATATAACCTGAATTACACCAAATTCCGCATTGCTGCACTGCACTGCTGGGCAATTTATCAACCACTTGTCTACTGCTGAGATTTATTGCCCAGTAGCCCAATGCAACTGTGTTTGTTTTCCTTTGCCCGCTCTCGCATTCTTCAACTGGGCGTATACATTTCTACCACCTCCACGTTTAGTTCTTTAAATAAATATGGGAATAAATTTTTCAAATATTTCAATGCCGAGTTGCTGCGTAAGCGACCGAACCTGGTACATACTGTCAATCTGTTGGTTCTTCAATTGATATCGGAAAGACTATACGTTGATTTTATTTTTCAAAAATCATATTTTGCAGTGATAAGCAACATTTCTCTAGGCTCAAATCTTCTTTCTCATACTAACGTTTATTACTTTTCTTTCATTTCGCTTTTAGTTTTTTTTTTTGTCTTGTATCCGTTCATGATCGTATATGCACCCAACTTTCTATACTAAATTTAATTTTTCATCTATAATACACACAATTGAACAAACTTTCATGTGAACCATCCCTCAAGAGCGTAAATTAAAACGAGAGCGCACTTCATTACTTTGTCATTGCTCAGACTAACAATAGTCAGGCTTCCATACTACCTACAAATTAGTAGGTCGCTCTCTGCCAGTAGGTCCAAAGTAATGTTTGAACTAGTAGGCATTGACATTTAAGTTGTGACATACCTTGTAGGTTATATCTCACCTATTCGCAAAACTTATTTTTTGTTACAAGGGACTTCATAGACATAATAAACGAATTAAAATCAAACTTAACAGCCAAGTAGAAAAAAGAGGTCGTTATTGAGACAATCGACAGTCTATTGTTCCCATCATGGCCACATATATATTTTGTCTTATATTATAGAGATCGTTATCGATTATATTTTTATTTATTTTTATTTTCAGTAACATGACCAGGCAACTCATGCAGTTAGCCAGAGGCAGGGTGGTACTAGCCCTGGAGGGCGGTTACGATCTGCCCTCGATTTGCGATTCAGCAGAAGAATGCGTGAGGGTTCTTTTAGGCGACCAGCCGTCGCCGATTTCGCCTATAGAGTTGTCCCGCGCCCCCTGCGCCAACGCCGTTCTGGCCTTGCAGAAGGTCATCGCCGTTCAAACCGCCCACTGGCCCTGCCTGCAGGAAGCCACAAAATCCGCGATTTGTTCTTTTAACGACGCCGTGAGAAATGAGAAAGATGACAAGGACACGGTCTCCGCCATGGCTAGCTTATCAATGCAACACGCCACTCCCAACATGGTGTCTCCGCCACCCGGTTTTCATCCCAACAGTCCGCAGGACGCAGGTCGTCCGCCCGCATGAAAATAGGGCGAAAGCTCCCTCATCCTATTTAACATTCCGGCTGTCACTGCGAAGTGACTGCCTCATAAAATAAGATCAAATTATCGTGTGTTTTATTTTTGTTAATATATTGAAAGTTTTTAATAAAAAAAAACATTTATTTACTTTAAGTGTGCTTTAATTACTGCTCACCCTGTGTCGCTTGTAAAGTTACCCTAAAATTTCCTTGGAATTTGCTTATTCAAATTGACAGTCATATTATATAAAAGCAGATTATTGCTGACTTAAACACCAAAAGTGAAATTTTATTATATAAAGTCTTGTGTAGAATTATTTAAATTTTGAAATAAATTAATTTATTATTTCAATATGTTCTTTTTTTCCAATAAATATTTCTCAAATCGTAAACAATATATAGAATATTTGAAATTCTTTTTGTTTACGAGTCATGGGATCATTTTCGATTTATATTAAATTCATTCGAATATTTTCCTCGCTCGAGAACTCTCGTCTCGTACGATATTTTCCAGGTAGCCCGGCAACTATTGAGAACCATTGATTGAAATATTTAAGTCAATGTGAGAACTGAAAGCATGTTATAAAAAAAAATACAAGTAAAAAACTGGGCTCTGGTAAAATATAGATTTTGTAAATTTTTTAGTCAAGAATTCAATAAAGTATTATATGTTGCCTATATAATAAAAATGAAATTAAACTGGCAGCTGATAGAATAAATAAAATTTTAGGAATGCTTATGCAACCAATTCTACACTGCTGTTGTATTGTATGGTGCCTATTCAACAAAAATTGAAATAAAACTACAAGGAAAATAATTGAAAATCTCGTAAACTAATGAAACTATAATAGAGAGGAGCTACAGTTTTTTTAATTGCTCAAATCGTTATAGTTCATCGGGATTTTTTCAGAATTTTTTGAGCTCTAAGAAAATTGATTTGACCATGAAAATTTTCAAAAAATTCAAGTACGGGTCCGTATGCATCTTGGGTCGCTACATACGCTGTGATGGTCGGTTATTGTGCAAGAGAGCCGTTATGAAAAATCTTTATTAATTTAAAATAAAATACAGTTTCAGATTATTCTGAAAGGAAACGGCTCCATCTGTACATCAAGAGCTCAATTAATTTACAAGTGAATGCGACATTATTACAGTTAGTTACCTGTTAAAAAATTCTTCCGCCGTTTAGTGCAATTTCTGGACGACAGATGGCGGCATGAAAATTTGAAACTATACTGTGAAACTATGTAATGCAGCCTGATTGGTTAAACGACACAAGTCAGCATTCCACTCCACAACGAAAAATTGACACAAAATATCCCCCCTAGGGGGGATATTTTGTGAAAATTGATTGGAATGATTTTCTAATAGCACGAAATTTTCAAAAAATTGAAGTGCCTTTCTAGAGGCGCTTCCGTATGCATCTGGGGTCGCTACATACGCTGTGATAGTCGATTATTGTGCAAGAGACCCGTTAAGAAAAATCTTTATTAGTTTAATATAAATAAAAAAAAATACACAATATCAAATTATTGGGAAAGAAAACGGCACCATCTATACATCAAGAGCTCAATTAATACATCAGTGAATGTGACATTATTACAGTTGGCTACCTGTTAAAAAATTCTTCCGCCGTTTAGTGTACTTTCTGATCGACAGATGGCGCCATGAAAATTTGGAACTATATAACGGAGCCTGATTGGTTAATCGACATAAGTCAGCGTCCTAGATAAATGATACTATAGATGGAAAATTGAACAGATTTCGTGGTCATTAACAGCGCTAACTGTTGACACTTTCTCCAACTTCTATTGCTTTCCTTTTCTAGGAATTATCGGTAATACAGTGAGTTAAATTACCTGTAGCCGGTAAAAGATGCAAGCGCCATCTAGTTGTACGCTCTACAACTATATACCCACCTACTCAATATTTGTTTTAGGTATTCTGCCGCCGCTAAATTTAAAATTACATAACAAATCTCACCCTACACAGATCACTCAGAAATTGATTTTGTAAAATAATTTTCACGTAGATAATTTTTTTTGTCACCATGAGAAAATAAGTACATTTGATAAAAAGCATTAAAATCACTCAAGCATTAAAGACACTTTTAAATGCTCTAATAGTCTTCCTACTTAAAATAAGAAATAATTTTGATACTGTAACTTTTTAAAATGTTTGTTGAAAAAATTTCAAATTTCAGTACATATTTTGAAAAAAAA